GGTGAAAGCTATTTAGGAATACTCGGGTCAAACCGTAGGCGGATGGGAAGATTGGGCGTACCTTGGACTAATGGGGCCATGACAAAATTAAATCTGAACTCCTCCAACCCTTGGACTGATGGGGCGTACCTTGGGCTCACGGGGTGATGATAAAATCAAATCAAAACTCCTCAAACCCTTGGACTGATGGGGCGTACCTTGGACTTATAGGGCAATGATAAAATTGAATCAGAACTCCTCAAACCCTTGGACTGATGGGGCGTACCTTGGACTAACGAAAAGAAGTGAAAATCAGCAAAGAGGACTTTGATCAAAAATCGCGCGAATCCCCAGTTTTAAACAGGTGAAGTGGAGAAGACCGCACTGTCACAGACGTAACCGATACCTCCTACTACTACTACTACTACAACTACTACTACTACCACTACTACTACTACTACTACTACTACCATTACTACCATTACTACTACTACTACTACTACTACTACTATTACAACGACTACTACTAAGACGTCTGAAGTTGATTCGGGTCTAAGGACTCAGGGCTGAGGGTTTGCATCTTATATTTATAGCTTTCATAGTTCGAGCGGTGGTTGTCGATGTGATCATATTAGATCTCGCCGAGGTTCCCAGTGCTTGTGCTAGATCCACTATGAGGTGTTCCCTTGGTCATATTGTCATGGGGCAATTGTTACAATTGAGAGTTAAGTCAGGGAATCAACAGACGATCAACCAGCAACATGTGTAATCGCCCCTCCTTTGTTGAGAATGCCCACTCCTTGATCATAGTACTTTTTATCACACAACAATGGTAAGGTTATTCAGGCCCTCCTAGTACTTCAGCTTGGAAGTCGGGCGTGATTGGGATTTCCCATCGAAGGCTCTGATTAGCTGACTCCCTTAACTTATTTTTGTCGTGGGACAACCGGCTTCCCACAGGTCTTGGCGATGCTTTTGGAGCCTCACGAGCCCCTGTCTGACGTCACAACCCTAAGCCCCATCTAAGCCCTAAGCCCCCAACCCTAAAGCTGTTTGTAGGAGTAGTAGGAGAGATGCTGCTACCAGCGTTCTGTCGGCTAATGCTGTCTTCGCTCTAACTTTGCCAAGTCCAATCCGAAATCCTTAAGCCTAGCTCCTATGCCCAATTCACCCCACAAAGGCTGATGACCAGGCCGCTTTCAAAAAATTTGGGAGATTCTCACAACAGAAGGGGCCAGAGGGATTATGGCAGGGCGCTATTAGGGACTAGTTTGGGCGAAACTGGCTTCATGTTGGAAGCTTGCCGAAAGAAGGGGAACCCCAATCCCTAAAGCCTATCCCAAAACCCTATATAGCCCTATATAATCGCTACATAGCCCCTAAGTTGGGGAACCCCCCTTTTGGGGTGTAGTTTCCATTTTCTTTTCCAGTATCCTTATATAACCTATATATAGCCTATAATAATCACGGGTCTACTTTTGAATAAAGCAAGGCTGAAAGGTGGCCATTTGAAGTTTCTCAGCCGGTCGGAAGCGGGGAAACAAGAAAGGGGGTAATACTTTTGTTATGTAGAGATTCTATGGGGAATATATGGGGATTCTATTGGGGTTATTTTTGGGAAAATGGAAAATAAAACGGAAACTGTTAATTAGGGTTCAGGGTTTAGGGTGTGGGGTTGAAGGTTTAGTTGTTAGTGTCTAACCCCTTCCCCCGAATATTAACACCCCCCTAATATTGAATATTCCCGCTATAGTATAATATACCATCATGGGGAGTATTCAATATTGTGGGCGGTTTAACATCAGGGGAGGGCAGTAGGGGGAGGGCAGTACATATTCCCACAGTCCTTCAACCTACGGTTGATGGGACACGATCTTGCATGGCACTAGATCTACTACAGTTGTCCTTCAACCTAGTTCCCCGTTTGTAGATAGAACATGGGGCATATGGGGATCTTGTTATACTATACCCAAAGCCATATTCTATCAACTTAGGGGGGACTATAGTTTGTGCAGCCAGTGGCTTCATTCCGTATGCATACTCTACCCCAAAACCCTCCTCTGACTACTGAACGCCCTGCAGTACTCAGGTGGGCGACTATGCCAAGCTTCAAGCCTCATTCCGCAAGGAAGTGGAACAGAAGGCCTGATTCTTTCTGCTACTGCTGGTTCAGTGTGAGGTTCCACCGTTCCACGGCTTATTGCTCAATACATGAAATAATCATTCTAAAAAATGCTGATCATATGAAGATGTACTATTCATAACAATGATACTCGCATTGTTTTCAATCCTTTTATGATTACTTCCGCTGTGGCTACTGCTCTCTTTGTGACGCTGGTTGTGAGTATAGTCCCCTTAAGTAGATAGAATATGGCTTTGGGCATATTATGATAAGATCCCCTTATACGCCATATTCAATCCACTTAAGGGGGATTATATTTCTTCTGCCAGGATGAGCGCTGTGGCCTCACAGTCATGATTTCCTGTTCTGTTTTTAATCTCAGACCTTCCAGAAACGTGGCGAGTTTTGTATTTCTTGAAGGCACCAGGTTGCTGTTGTAGTGTTTAGTGTGTGATTGACAGGAGTTGAAGTAAAGATCTGCATCAGCTTGAGCCTTTTTCCCTAAAGCCTAGTTTTGTGGAAGGATAGGGATCTTTTGTTGCAGGCATAGTTTAGGCGGCACATCATGATGGCCGTTCTCAACTCCATTTGTGTCATCCTGCTCTCTGAGTCCTTCTCCGAAATTCCCAAGCCAAAATGCGAGTATGTCTTAAGGCTATGGTGTGTGTATATCCGTTCCTACAATGCATGGAACAGATCTTACACCACCTAGGATTCCCAAAGTGCTGTAGTTTCTTGGGTACAGGTGGTGCAAGATTTCCCCAGCCACAGAACGATAAGCCGCCCACTTTTCGGGAACCACGTTTTATGGTTCCTTCCACATACAATATAACCCCTTGTAAAATCCGTATATAACCTCAATACAACCTCTATATAGCCCCATAAATCCCCCTATAACCCTAAACCCTAAACCCTAAACCCGTAAACCCTAAACCCTAAACCCTAAGCCCTAAACCCCAAACCCTAACCCCTAAACCCTAAACCGCTTGTAACCCTAAGCCCTATGTCTTGTCAGGAAAGGATCACCATTGAGCTCACCGAGGAGAAGCGGGCCATTGTTGCGTCTTTCCAGGCCCCGTGCTTTTTCTACCCACGCGGTTTCAGGCTTTAGGTTTTATGGTTTAGGTTTTAGGGTTTAGGTTTGAGAGCAGGTGGCTGTGGGGCCTGGGTTTTTGAAACACCATATTTTGTACATTTTATGTATAGGATGACTTTCAA